GTTACTGCTGTGTGCTTAGTTACTTTTGTATGCCTAGTTAACTGCTGTATGCCTAGTTACTGCTGTGTGCTTAGTTAACTGCTGTATGCCTAGTTACTGCTGTGTGCCTAGTTTTTACTCTGTTCCTTGTTACTGCTGTATGCCTAGTTACTGCTGTATTCATAGTTATTGCTGTACGCTTTGTTAACTGCTGTATGCCTAATTACTGCTGTATGCCTAGTTACTGCTTTGTGCTTAGTTAACTGCTGTATGCCTAGTTAACTACTGTAAGCCTTGTTACTGTTGTATGCCTGGCTACTACCTTATTTCTTTAGCTACTGCTTTTTCTAAGCTACTGTGTGTGTTGTGTGTCTAATTACTGCACCCTTTTTTTAGGTAATTTTTTTTTTTTTTGGGTGTGGCCCAGCTACTGCAATTTTCAATTTTTTTTTTATATGCCTGATTAAATTTTTCCCCTTGCTGCTTTGATTCTAGCAACTGGCTTTTTCCTCTTTTTTCTTTTCTGTGTGTATGTGTTTGTTGAAATCTAGCGGATGGATGTCAAAGCACAGGGTTTCATCCCATTTGGCCCGACCTCTCCTACCTGCTGGCCAATAGTATCGCTCAGACCGTGAACATCACAGCTCACTTGATGATCCCCACGGGTCTCCATAAAAATGGCGCTCATTCACCGAATGGCGTAGCTGTGAAATGAACCCACGACCTTTAAAGTGCGAGATTACCAGCTTGACCACTTGCAGTATTTATTGCTCTTTTTTTTTTTAACTTGATGTTATGAGAGAGAGGGGGGTGGGGGAGGAGGGGAGAGAGAGAGGCCTTATTCCTGCTTTGTTCCTAGTGACTGTTTAGTGTCTGGCTGAAGAACTAAATATAAAATCAGATGGTTTGATTTTACTATCTTATTCTTAAAGTCCATGCCGTGTGGTTTTGGTAATCATGTCTGTCCACAACCTTCAGTCTTATGTTCTTACAGTAAAGTATGACACAGGTGATCCTGCATGCCATGATATCAAACTGTCTAGCATCTTCTCTCTTGGCCTCCCTCTGCATCTCTTCCCCTCCAACCTTCCCACTGTCACATTGCAGCCAGGTTTTTTCGTTCTCATGACGTGACCAAGGACCAAAGAATATAGATTGTCGATTTTACTATCATTATGCCATAAAACCTTTTTAAGTTGGCACCCTGCTAAACAATATATGACAAAACCCCCCATGACCACACACCCCAAAACTTTAAAAAGATGTGATTAAAAAGAGAAGGACAAAAAGAGAATGCCCAGGCACTATTAAAAAGAACTTACTGCTGTATGCCTAGTTGCTGCTCTATGCTTAGTTTCTCCCATATACCTAGTTATTTCCATAATGCCTAGTTATTTCCCATATGCCTAGCTGTTGAGTTGTGACTAGTTACTGCTGTAGGCCTAGTAATAATCTATGTCTAGTTACTGCTGTGTACCTAGTTACTGCTCTGTGCCTTGCTATTGCTGTGTGCCTCGTGTGGTGTTGGTGATCATGTCTAATCACAACCTTCTGTTTCATGTACTTTCACTCAGCTCTGACATGGATGATTCTCCAACATCCACATAAATCTGTGACAGATATCATAAAAGAAACAACCACCAGCTGGCAGTTTAGCATTTAGATATCATTTTGATAGTTGACACTGTTTTGTTTTGATGATGTCTGCTAATTTGACCACATGAGAGTGCATTGCAAGATGTTGAACCAGTATATTTTTTTAAAAGTATGTTATCTAATAAACTGGAGAAAAATGTAAATATAACAGATTCATAATCATCAGGTGCCTTGTCGACTGGGCTGGGCGATCATGCCTCTCCACAATCTGTGAAAATAGCAAGAATACTGGCACTGTTATTAAGACATATTGGGTTGAATGGTACTTGTCTGAAGCAAGTTGAAGAATTAAAGTATCTAGGACAGTGTTTCCAAACTTTTCTTGGTTGCTGTGCCTTTTTTTTTCCTTCTAAAACAATTTTTCCATGGCACCCCAACCTAAGTAAAAGTATTTCTATTCATGTCTTGGTTAAAATAATTATGAAGCTTTTACAATATTTTTCGGCGCCCCTGTGAAGAGGTCGCGGCTCCCCAGGGCACCACGGCACACAGTCTGGGAATCACTGATCTAGGAAGTACATCCTCAGAGGATTGATGAATAGATTGGGATATAGAAACAAGATACCATAAGGCCAGTGGACTTATATACCAATTGACGCCCTTACTAAGACATCCAAACATAAGTAAGAGCGCCAAGAAACAGATTATAAACAGTATATTCATACCAACACTGTGCTACCAGTGCCAGACATTATCTAAAGCTAACCTAGGTAAAATTAATAACTGTGAAATGAGATGCCTGAGAAAAGCCACCAACTTAACTGAGACAAAGGTAGAATTATATTAACAGACAGACTGTAAGAAAAACATAATGCTGCAGATTAAATGAAGAACAGAAGATCAAATGGTTTGGTGAGTTAGTAAGAATGCAGCCAGAACAATAACTAAGGCAGGCGCTACACATGAAAAGGTTTGTGAAAGCAAGAGGTCACCCTAGGAGAACATGGATTGATGACATTAAAGAGCTTCTACATCGACTCGTCCTAAGTGACTTGTTGATGAGATGCATTGTTAATGCTTTTGGCTGTTTTGCACCTGTGCAAAACTAATAATATTTGGGGTTGGTGTCTTTTGAGCTAAACAGCTTTTTTTAAAAGCCTAGCTGGCATCCGTTTCCATAAGCTTCAGTGATATAGGCTAGTTAGTCGACAGATTATCTTCATTACACATCAAACCATTCAGTCCATAAATACTTGGATGCACTCTTTAGTAACTCCTGCAGCATGTAGCCAGTTCTGTGTTTTATTATTCTTCTTTGGCTTCCTGCAGAGCACTTTTTTCTGGCCACACCTCTTTTAGCATCTCTTTCTTGCATTACAATGATAGAGGTTACGCGGTCAAAGCATGAATCACCTAGTACATATTTTTAAGGCCGTGTGGGATGTATTCCATTTCTGCTTCACCCTGTTCATATTTAAAGATTACTACTTTCATATATCTTAATTTATTTTCAAGAAAAACTTAAAATTTTGATAAATCTATTTTTTTTTTTTTTTTTACAAATTTACTGCCTCTGTAAAAAAAATATTTTAGTTACAGGTTTTTTTCCTGGAATCCTAGAATCCTGGAATCCCAGCTGTAATCTCTTGCACAAAGTTCTGGTTGTTCCTCCACTTCTGGACTGCAGTCCAAAAATCCAAAATCAGTTGCATGTGCATCCGTTTTACAGATCTGACTCATTTGTATGCAGTTCCTTGCCTCTCAGGCAGATGCACTCCGACTTCAAAGGAAGCTCCCAAAATAGTCGACTACTATGACATGCTTTTGGGCAGGCTGTGGGTCTATTCTTGTTTTTCACTATAATGGGGCCCAGGGACCTACACGGGGGAACCGGGGCTAACAAGTTTTATCAGTAGTCTGCTGCATTATCAACTTGACCCAGGAGAGCATCCACCTTATCCATCTTATTTTAACCCTCTGGAGATGGAGCCTTTTTGGAGTTTCAGTGCCAAAAAGACAAAGCCTTCAGGGGGGGATTCTCAGTTTATACTCAAAAAATTATACAAAATTAAGCATTTAATTAAAATATACAACATTATATATATAAATTCCTGTAGGAAATTGAATGAGCTAACAGACTAGTTATGAATCAAACTTAAATTTTAACATTTACTCAAATTAACTATTCTGATTCACATAATTTATGCAAGCATTTTTTTTTAAACTTAGGAACAAACATGACCAACCTATTGAAAAAAAATTATGGTAATTTGTTAATGGATGAAGCTTGAATACGTTTTAACACTTGTGTTTTGGGAAGTAAGGCCCTTCAGACACTTCTAGCAGATGGCCCTACTTATTTTCCTAACTCCAAAAATGTTTTGGTTGCTGTGATGTAACAGTCCTTTTCGCCTTTGTTGCCCCCTAAAAAAACAAATTGATGCAAAAAAAACGAACACATCAAACTTTCTCAAAAGCCATCAATGAACAGCCCACATGTGCAAGAAATGCGAAATGCCATCTGATTGGCTGGTACAAAAAACTCAGCCAATCTCAAGGCTTGTATTACATAGGGCAGACTGATCGGCACAGTTGTCCTTTTGGCCACTTTGTGTCGGGCCGATATTTCGGTTTGTCGTCTCCAAAGGGTTAAAGTAGGCTACCTAAGAGAAGCGACAACAGCCAATCTATCAACGTACTCATTGCCATCCACATGTCCTTAGACTATATAAAAGGATTGCATAGGAGAGAACAGAATGGAGGAATCAAGTTACCAGCCCTATTTGACATATACATGGCTTCTTAGGTGGGTTCAAGGTCCCATTTGGGGGAGGGGAAATAGACCCACTGCCTCCAAGCATGTCATAGAAGGCAAATGATTGGGTTTGTTTCTCCAAAGCTAAAATGCCTCTGCCTGAGAGGTGAGGAACCAACAGTCTGCATATAAGCCAGATCTGTAGAAAGGAATGTGCAAGCAATTCTGGAACAAGACCAGAGTCCAGAAGTGGACTAATGACCAGAATCTTTCATCAAAGTTTACAACTCCTGAGTGCTAACTGAGAGGTAAAAATGGCACAACACGTTTGGCTGTACAGGTTATCTCTTGCATTATCTTCTTCTTCTTCGATTCACCAGCTGTAAACTGGTGGAAAGATCTGACTGTTCATCCACTTCTGGACTGTAGTCCTATTTCAGATCCTTGGTGTTGCTTGTGCATCCGTTTTACAGATCTGACTCATTTGTATGCTGGTTTCTTGCCTCTCAGGCAGATGCATTCTGACTTTGAAGGAAGCTCCCAATTAGTCGACTCTTACCACATGCCTTTTGGTAGGCAGTAGGTCTATTCTTGTTTTCCCTTTAATAGGGTCCCAGAACCCACACGGGGTCTAGCATTATGTATTCATTGCTGCATTTGTATTTCTCAGGTGTACACAGTAGGACCAGACTACCAGCATGCAGAGGCTCGCAAGTCTCCAGCTTTAGATGGGAAGGTGGAGCGGAACTTGGATGGGAAGGAGATTCGGTATCCAGTGCTTTTGACAAGCAGGGAGAAGATGATAGCTAGAACTATTTGCAAAGTGTTCAAGGTAATTAGTGAGCTGTTTGTTTTCATTCTGACTGGCAAGCACTTTACATGAGACAGTTTTCTGTGTGGGTTGCAGGGCTCTATTATACGGAAAACAAGAATAGACCCACTGCCTAACCAAAATCATGTTGTAAGAGTCAACTAATTAGGAGCTTACTTTGAAGTCAGAGTGCATCTGCATTAGAGGCAAGGAACCAACAGTCTGCACACAAATGAGTCAAATCTGCACCTGCAGTACTCGGGTTCTGAAATAGGACTGCAGTCCAGAAATGGACGCACAACCAGAACTTTCCGCCAGAGTTAACAACTGGTGAACGCGAAGAAGAAGAAGAAGAATGAGACAGTTATTATTGGCACTTCTCTGCCTCCTCCTGCTTTTCCACACTGGCCCAGAAAACATGATAGAGATAGACCTTCAAATTGAGGAGAATTAGAGACAGAAGAAAAGAGGTAGACCTTCAAATTGGGGAGAATTAGAGACAGAAGAAGAGAGGTAGACCTTCAAATTAAGGAGAGTTAGAGACAGAAGAAGAGAGATAGACCTTCAAATTGAGGAGAATTAGAGACAGAAGAAGAGAGTTAGACCTTCAATTTGAGGAGAATTAGAGACAGAAGAAGAGAGGTAGACCTTCAATTTGAGGAGAATTAGAGACAGAAGAAGATAGGTAGACCTTCAAATTGAGGAGAATTAGAGACAGAAGAAGAGAGGTAGACCTTCAATTTGAGGAGAATTAGAGACTGAAGAAAAGAGGTAGACCTTCAAATTGAGGAGAATTAGAGACAGAAGAAAAGAGGTAGACCTTCAAATTGAGGAGAATTAGAGACAGAAGAAGAGAGGTAGACCTTCAAATTGAGGAGAATTAGAGACAGAAGAAGAGAGGTAGACCTTCAATTTGAGGAGAATTAGAGACAGAAGAAGAGAGGTAGACCTTCAATTTGAGGAGAATTAGAGACAGAAGAAGAGAGGTAGACCTTCAATTTGAGGAGAATTAGAGACTGAAGAAAAGAGGTAGACCTTCAAATTGAGGAGAATTAGAGACAGAAGAAAAGAGGTAGACCTTCAAATTGAGGAGAATTAGAGACAGAAGAAGAGAGGTAGACCTTCAAATTGAGGAGAATTAGAGACACAAGAAGAGAGGTAGACCTTCAATTTGAGGAGAATTAGAGACAGAAGAAGAGAGGTAGACCTTCAATTTGAGGAGAATTAGAGACAGAAGAAGAGAGGTAGACCTTCAATTTGAGGAGAATTGGAGACAGAAGAAAAGAAATAGACCTTCAGTTTGGGGAGAATTAGAGACAGAAAAAAAAAAGATATACCTTCAGTTTGGGGAGAATTAGAGACAGAAGAAAAAAAATTATCACATGAGAGAAGAGATAGACCTACAATTTGGGGAGAATTAGAGACTGAAGAAACAAATGAGGAGATTTGCAGGAGACAACAGAAATATAGAATGGCTTGGTGGGAATTGTTTAACACTATTCTGCAGTAGAAAATAAAAAGCAGAAGAAGAAAGGGGAGGAGGAGGTAAAAAGGAGGAGGAGAAGAACAGAAGGAGGGAAAAGTAAGGATAAGGAGGAGGTAAACGAAAAGAACAGAAGAAGAGAAATGTAGGGAAGAGGAAAAGTGAGAAGGAGGAGGGAAATTTAAGGTAGGAGAAAGAAGGAGGGGGGGGGGGGGGGGGAAGAAGGATGAGAGGAGGAAAAATAATAAGGCTTAAGGAGGAGGCAAAACAAGGGTGGTTGGGGGGGGGGGGGGGGGGGATAATGGGGGGAATAAGGGGAAGGAAAAAAATTATCTGTGTGGAACAAATTGTGCTTAGACAGCTGTGACATGTGCCTCAGCTTGTTTGTGCACCAGTTCAATCTTCAGCACATGTACCTTTTTTTTTAATGTGTAGCAAAATGTGTGTGGCTTTGATCTGCTGAGAGCCAATGGCAGGTATTACGTGTGTGACATCAACGGGTTCAGTTTCGTCAAGACGTCCAGCAAGTACTACGACGATTGTGCCAAAATATTGGGGTAAGCCAGGCTTAATTTTGATGTCTTCTTCTCTATTCCCTTATTCCCCTAACTCCCTTTTTCCCAATGTTTTGCTGTTAAAAAAAATAATATCATATACTGTTTTTGATCTTGCTGCATTCTCACTTGATGGCTGAACCAGCTAATTGTCTGTTGATAAAGCAAGTTTTTTTTTTTTGGGGGGGGGGGGGGGGGATATTATTATTATTACTTTCTGTGATGACTGTAGTCTTGAAAATCCTAAGCTCTAAGTGTGGAAGATTATTCTTAATGCGAGCGAGTCTTGCTTGTCACATTCACCACAGGTTGTGACTCTGCTGCTTTCTTATAAAGCACATTACACAGAGGGAACAGTGCAAACTAGCAGGGCAGAAGTATCTTTATCGATGAGATATATCTGTATATTGATGAGAAAACACTGTTCATTGATGAGGCATGACCGGCTCCAGCTGACGGGTTGTGCTGCTGACGTCACCGGGTCGAGCTAACAATGCATTAACGCAGCAGTTCTCACATGAGAAGTAAACTATTTTTGACAGTGGCAAGGGAGGACAACTTAAATTTTAACTTTTAAGTATCGACATGCCTTTTTTAACAAGTCTTTTCTTGATTATTGCTGCGGCACCCCGGTATATGCTCACAGCACCCCAGGGTGTCTTGGCGCCTAGTTTGAGAACCGCTGCGTTTACGCATCCTTAGCCCAACCCGGTGACGTCAGCAGCACAGTTCGTCAGCTGGAGCTGGTCGTGGATGAGGTAACTGTAGTGGGGAAGTAACTCTGTTTTTTTAATAAGGTAACTTCCCTATGTGGGTTTCAGGGCCCTGTTATAGGGAAAACAAGAATAGGCCCACTGCCTACCCAAAAGCATGTCGTAAGAGTTGACAAACTGGGAGCTTCCTTCAAAGTCATAGTGCATCTCCCTGAGGCAAGAAACCAGCAGTCTGCATTCAAATGAGTCAGATCTGTAAAACAGATGCACATGCAACACTCAAGTTCTAGATCAGGACTGCAGTCCAGAAGTGGATGAACAACCAGAACTTTGCGCCAGAGTTTACAGCTGGTGAGCGCAAAAAAAAGAAGAATAAGGTAACTGTGTATTGGGGAAGTAACTCTGTTTATTGATGACGTAACCTTTTTTTTATATGCAATTTTTAAAAATGAGAAAACTGTTTATTAATAAGGTTTTTTGCCTATTGATAAGAATTTTGCTTATTGGTGAAATAACTGTATTTACATACCATTACTATTTAGTAAAATTAATCCATGGGAGATTTATGCTTATGCATATGCCTATGAGGCAAGGAACCAGCAGTCTGCATATAAATAAGCCAGAGCTGTAAAAGAATGTGCATGCAAAAACTCAAGTTCTGGAACAAGACCATAGTCCAGAAGTGGACGATCAACCAGGATTTTGCAGCCAGTCAATGCTAAGAAGAATTTATCACAGTCAAAGTCACTGCGCATGTGTACTCAGTCCTTCAGTGCAGCTGCCACACCATGGTACCTCTACTGCTTGTTCCCATGAGATGTTGGTTGCAGTGTCTTATGCCTGATAGTATTGTTTGTACCAGTGAGACTTTGTCAACTTATTTGCACCGGGTGAAACAGCTAAATAGCTGTAGCATGTGATGCCTAAGAGGAATACTTTGCAGGACAAGATCACAAACACTGAGGTATTGGAAAGAGGAGATGGCTGGGTCACACCTAGAGAATGAAGGATGAATGAGTCCCTGAGGACATCTTCTATGGTTAATTAAATACGGGTAGAAGATGCAGAGGTCAACCTCTACTACGATATAAAGATGTGTGCAAGCGAGACATAAATGATACAGGTATTGAGGTGGACTCATGGTAACAATGCCGTGGACCATGTTCTTGCTAGTCACGCCATAGCCATGGGCTTTGAGTCCCATGCCTCCTCATAGCTCACTATAACACTATCGTCTGGACAGATGGAAAGGTGCCAGTGTGACATACCACCTTCACGTTCTTTTGAGATTACAAAACTTTAGTGTGATGTAACAGGTCGTGGGTTCCCTGGATTTGGGTTTAACTGAATTTTATCTGTTGAGTAGGGAATTTTCCTCTCAACATCCCCTCCACCAGGTTAACTGAACTGATATCCGGGCTATGTTGCTCTAGGACAAAGTCCTGGATATCCAAGAAAACAGTCATATTGGCTCGTTAATTATTTTAACATTAGCTGCACTTGGTACCCACAAGAGAAGGAAATGGGTTTTAGATGTCTATATATATTATTATATTGTATGATTTACTAGACAGGGCAGTTGACCCATTCCGTCGACTTTCCTTTGGTAAAGAATTAGTATTATTATTATTTAATGAGCTCCCACCAAATGCTATTCTATCTTAACAGTTTTATTAAACATGTAAGAACAGACACACTTGGAATTATAAAAACTGATGGAGGATAAGACCATATAATTGATTTATTAACCTAGCAATCATTTTAGTTATTTATATATTTAGTCAATAGTGATGGTATGGTGGTAATGAGATGCTTCAGCTAACTGAGCACCTAAGATTAGAGTGAAGTGATAATGGTGGTGTTTAGTTACATAAATTCTTAGCTGTTCCAACCTTTACGCCCAGTTCTCCTGGTTCCTCCTGGTTCTTCCACCTGTTTCCCAGCTGGCCGTGTTCTAACACAATTTAGTCTCGTGACCGTGATGACCCTCTATTTCTGTTCTCAGAAAAGACTGATCGTCACATGGAAGCTGTAATCATGGAAACAAACACATACGTGTAGTATCTTGACTTACACTAAGAATACATGTATCAATTAATACAATATATAATAATACATTATATCTCATCACATCTCCTCATATTCCACATTCTCTCCAGTCTAGTCTGAAGGTCTTTGTGTCTCACACCGACGTCTAACATATCCTGCCTTCCCTCTAAGGTTCTGTCATGATAGTTGACTTTCTGTTGTCCGTCATCACTCAGACTTCCAACTGGCTGACATTGATTTGACATAAACATGTGGCGCAGGTTATGTGCTGAACACGCAAAACATTTTATACGTGCATGCTGTCCTGAATATTATCTTTCAGTGACAGTGAATAATATACACCCATGATTCTTCCCCTGGGGTTATAAATCCCCAGTATAGGTGAACACATTAAGTGAGTGCATGGTGGGCACACAAAACGTAACAGCATGGCTGCAAATGTGGGCATCATTTCCCACAGTCCAAACTCATGTTTTGGTTGATGGGTGAAACATTATAATTTCATTACATTTCAGGATGCAAGTCTTATTTTATAAACATGAAAACATACACTGAAAAACATGTGCCACAAACATACAAGAAATAGAAATTTTTTAGCAGTTCCCTAACTGAGATACTGAATACTCACAAAGAATTGTTTCAAGCAGAATGTGTAGACAAATTAGAAAAAGGTAGAATAGGCTTAGCTAACTCCCTAACCTATGTATAAAAGATTGGAAATAATTGTACAAGCTTACCTGGGACATTCCAGCAATGGCCAAACCAGAATCAAACAATTAGAATTACCTCTAATGTCGACCTCTGTTTGTTGCTCGTGGCAGCGATTATCACAGGAATTCCAGAGGCTAGTCTTATTAATACCTCTATCTGTCTGCAAGGTTAAACTCCTCCCTTTACTAGATTCTGCCCAACCCTCCAGGAGATGACCTAAGCCACGCCCCTGAGGTACCTTGCAGATCAACATATCTATCAATGGGCCTTTCACTCAAAGTGAACGGCCTTCAGTACGACCTTGACCAAGATTAGACATTCCTAATTGGCAAACATGTTCTCCTGAGAATTTCATTGACAAGTGTGAAACTCCAGCCACTGGACGCCATTCTGTCTCTAGAGTTGTCTACCAGACCACTTAATTCCCCTGATCTGCTCTGTTCAAAAAGGCCCCACTCAGTCTGTGTTATGTAACATTTTATGACACTAAGGTTGGCTTCATGGGAGATAATCTCAGGTGTGAAAATTAGTTTCCAGTTGCTGGCCCCTACAGTCTGTGGGCAGGAGATAATTATATGACACTGGCTGGTGAAAGGAATCCCTAACTAAGGTAGTATTAGGTAATATTACACAAAGTGGGATTGCTTTGTCTGGCGAGAGACAGGGAAACAAAGTTTAAACAATTTTCAAATCCCCTGTAGTGGTTTTAGAACTATTTTAGGCTCAGTGCATATTGCTTATAATTCTTTGTCCTTCTCTGAACATAAGAGATTATTAAACACAATATAACTTCTGAGACCACTGAGGTCATTTCGTCACAGCCAGTCAGTTGTAATGAGAAGATGGAAAGGTGCCAATCAGTTATAATAAGAAGATAAGGTGCCAGTCAGGTATAATGAAAAGATGAAAAGGTGCCAGTCAGGTATAATTAAAAGATGAAAAGGTGCCAGTTAGTTGTAATGAGAAGATGGAAAGGTGCCAGTCAATTGTAATAAGAAAATGGAAAGGTGCCAATCAGTTATAATAAGAAGATAAGGTGCCAGTCAGGTATAATGAAAAGGTGCCAGACAGTTGTAATGAGAAGATGGAAAGGTCAAGTGTAATGAGAAGATGGAAAGGTGCCAGACTGTTGTAATGAGAGAACAATCAAATGTGTCTTCCCTTTAACAGGACACTGGTAATGAGGGCTTGCTGCCCCCAGCTCCATATACCCTACCCCATGTGTACAGCCCCAGAGGACATTCCTGTTGTCCAGACCACTTCCGGCTCCATGTGAGTACCAGTTTCAGGGAACCCTGCCATTTTGTTTTCTTGTTATCCTTCCTATCTTTCTTCCTTGCCGTCTTTCATTTCTTTATTCTTTCTATTTATCTTTGTCTTTCTTTCTTTCTGCCACCTACTTTTTTCTTGTTTCTTCATTCTTTCCCTTCATTTCCTTTTTCCGTCCTTCCCTCCTTTATTTATCTATTTATTCCTTCCTTCTTTCTTTTCCTCTTTCCTTCTTTTCCTCCTTCCTTTATTCTGTCAATTCTTTGTTTATCTGTTCTTACTTCTTTCATTTCATCATTTTATCCTTTGTTTTTTCCATCCTTTATTGTCATTTCTTTATTAACTTTTACTTCTTTCTGTCGTCTCTGTATTCCCTCCTTTTGTCTTCATTCCTTTATTCTTTAATTCCTTTGTTATCTTCTCTTTGTATGTCTTTAATTCCTTCTTTCCTTTCATCCTTCCTTCCTTCCTCCCTCCCTTCCTCCTTTCTTTGCTTCTTTTCATCTTTCTCTACCAATGCTATCTCTGATATCATTTTTAGAGAATTACGCAGTGAAAAATCCTTGAAATGTATGATTAAGTGGCTCTTTTCTCTGCTTGTTCTGTTTTTGCAACTGGCACACCCCCAGCCCCTTTTTCTAACACTCTGTATGTGTGTATGCAAGCACACATAATAGTTGGCATGTGTTTGTGTCTGCATATTTATGTGTTTTTCTGCATGCATGTATGAATGTGTATATCTTTTTGTCTGTGTGTATGTGTGTGTGTGTGTATGTATGTGTGTGAGAGGCTGAGTGAGTGCAGACATTTATTTATTTGTATGTCTTTGAATGTCTGTCTTACTTTGTTTTCTGTCTGCCTGTGTCTTTGACTGTCTGCCTAAAAAGCTTATTGGCTAGCTGTACCCCTCTATAATCCCTCTATAATTAAAAAACATATACATATCTGTGTGTAAACACAAGCATTCATACAATACATATATGACATATTTTGTTATATGTGAACATATCACTGACATAATAAAACATGATGTTATTTTTCAGGATGGAGTTGAGGTGTGTGGTTGCCGTTATCCGGCACGGTGACCGAACTCCTAAGCAAAAGATGAAGATGGAAGTGAAAAACAAAAAGTAAGCTTTGGCAGTTTCTGATGGTTCTTGGAAAATGGCTTTGAATTCTTCTTCTTCTTGTGTTGGCTTTCTGATTTTCACTGGCAGGCAAGTTCTTGTAACAGATAAGTTCTTGTGATAAACTTAAAAGGCAGTTTGGGATTGTTTCTGTCTAATTGGTTTTGGTCAGTCACTACCTTCGCTGTCTTTTGACTCCATAAGATGGTCTAGGAGGTCCTTCAGTAGATGGGAGTGAGTTCTGTGGAGGCTCAGAACCCGGCACTACACCTGCCTGATGGAACTCCACTGGGCGTGCACCAACAATAAATATGTCTGACAGTGTAATCATATGTATAGTGGAGGTTGGGTAGTACAATAGTTTTTGCTCCTCCTTATGGCCCAGTATTTCCAACTTCAGGATATCTTGAGAAGGAGAGTAGGCTCACCCCTTCACTTTTAGCTCATTCGTTGTCCCATCCAGTTTCCCGCTGAGAGTTAATACCCCAACCGTCTATTAGATTGCTGAGAAAAACAGGGTCCACCGGGTGAAGGTGAGCTAAGTTTGAGCAGAAGAGGCTAATAGATATTAAAAGTCTTGTATTGCTCATCACTGCTCCATTAGGACCCCGCTTTAAATTATGAAAGAAGGTGGCAGCATAGTAACTAGACCGGGGCTAGTCAAATGGCGGCCTGCAGAGGGCTAGCAAGTGGCCCGCGGATCCTTGCCAATTGTATTTTGGCAGTGACCTTTCTATGCCAAGGTCAAGCTGTGGGCCCTTGACTATTCCAATTTTCAAAACATTTGGCTTCTGAGTAAATTTAGTTGAATAGCCCTGACCTAGATGCTTATGTGCCAGACCAGAGATCAAGGGTTCAAATCCGCATCAAAGCGAATTTCTTCAAATTTGACCTTGGAACCCATCCTTTTGTTGGTATCAGGTAAACAATGTTTAGATCTAGCTCTATGTGCCAAAGACATGAAGAGGGTCCTTTTCTTCTCTCCTCCCCCCCCCCCCCCCCCCCCCTTGCCCAGATAAACCATGTAATGAGGCTAACCCTCAAGAGAAGGCAGGGGCAGAACATGAGCATTCCCCACCATCCAAGGAGGCTTCCACAAATGCAAGGCCACTACATGGTGCATTCATACTGGGTCTTCATGATTTGACTCAATTCTCACAAATTTGTAAAAAGTCTTTATTGTCATCAGTGATCTTCTTCCTCTTTGCATTTACCAGCTGTAAACTCCGGCAGAAGTTCTGGTTTTTTTGGGTCCACTTCTTGACTCTAGTCCTGTTCCAGAAACTGAGTGTTGCCTGCACATCCTTTTCACAGGTCTGACTTATTTGCATGCAGACTGTTGGTTTCTTGCCTATCAGACAGATGTACTCTGACTTCAAAGGAAGCTCCCAATTAGTCGAGTTTACGACATGCTTTTGGGCAGACAGTGAGTCTTTTCTTGTATTCCCCCACAATGGGACCCCAGAACCCACACAGGAAGCCACCAGTGGCAGATTTGATCTCAGTTAGTTGAGATTCATCAGAGCCAACTTTCACCATAAAGATGGCACTTCATTAATTCTCATCGTTTCATCACCAGGTTCTTGGATCTGTTTGAGAAGTACGGAGGCTACAAGACCGGCCACTTGAAGCTGAAGAAGCCCAAACAATTGCAGGAAGTGTTGGACATCGTCAGGCAACTGCTCAGTAAGGCTGACAGCAAAGATGACCCGGGCATTGCTGAGAAGAAGGCTAAACTGAACCAGCTGAAACTGGTCTTGGAAATGTAAGATTATTTCCTGCTGCTGTCATTTTTTTACTTCTTGTTAGTTAGAATGAAAAGGTGTCAAACCAGACAAAAGGTCGATCCAGCCAGCTTTACATTACCAAAAACACAAACAGGAAGGGAACATTGCTGCTAGTGAACTTACAGTTTTTGTACACTTTTGTTTGGTCCTTGTTTTAATTGTTTTAGTTTTTGTACACTTTTGTTTGGTCCTTGTCTTGATTGTTTTAGTTTTTGCACACTTTTATTTGGTCCTTGTCTTGATTGTTTTAGTTTTTGTACACTTTTGTTTGGTCCTTGTCTTGATTGTTTTAGTTTTTGTACACTTTTGTTTGGTCCTTGTCTTGATTGTTTTAGTTTTTGTACACTTTTGTTTGGTCCTTGTCTTGATTGTTTTAGTTTTTGTACACTTTTGTTTGGTCCTTGTCTTGATTGTTTTAGTTTTTGCACACTTTTATTTGGTCCTTGTCTTGATTGTTTTAGTTTTTGTACACTTTTGTTTGGTCCTTGTCTTGATTGTTTTAGTTTTTGTACACTTTTGTTTGGTCCTTGTCTTGATTGTTTTAGTTTTTGTACACTTTTGTTTGATCTTTGTGTTGATTGTTTCAGTTTTTGTACATTTTTGTTTGATCTTTGTCTTGATTGTTTCAGTTTTTGAACACTTGTTTCATCTTTGTCTTCATTGTTTAACTTTGTGTACATTTTATTTGATCTTTGTCTTCATTGTTTGTCTTTTTACACTTTAATTTGTTTTGCTCTCACTCTCACACACTCACCCACTGTTTCACTTTCACATATACACACACTCTTATAAACTGTTTTTGACTCTCACACACTATTTATCCAATAATTCAGCCTCATGTGCTCATATATTCAAAATTTGACTCTCATACACTCAGCTACTGTTTCACTCTCACATAGTCACACACTCATGTATCCACTGTTTCACCCTCATACACTCAGCCAACATAGCACTCCGAGTGACAGACACTCATATACCCATGGTCATGTACACTTATACAATGTATTTACCCATACTCACATATTGAAATCAAATATCCCCGGCATGAGGCACTGACTTTTTATCACTAATTCTTCTTCTTTTGTTCGCTTGAAATAGATTATCAATAACTGCAGTGTAGTCTCTAGGATGAACTTCGCTGTCTTTTGTAATTCACTCAGCGGCCTGTAATGTTTGGCTTGCACCAGTGTTTATCTGTGATTATTCTTCATCGTTATTCAGGTATGGACATTTTTCGGGCATTAATCGCAAAGTTCAGCTCAAGTACCAGCCTAAAGGTCGACCGAAAAGATCGTCTAGCGAAGAAGGTTCGTAGATTTTATCTGTATAAATTTGACTTACAGATAATTGATATTATTTTATTCTTGAATCTTAATTTGTTTTGTTAATAAAAGAAACATGGAATGATAAAGGGACCCTTCCCTCTATCTTTTGCTTTGTGAGTTCCAAAAAAAGGATTTTCTGACTATATTATAATTTAGTTTTGTGCACAATATGGGTGACTGTAATACCTTATAGTTTACTGAACATTTTACAGTGGGAACTGTCTCACCACCCCTGATTGTTTCAGTGTCTGTACATTTTTGGTTATCTTGATTATTTCACTGTCACACACTCAGCCACTGTTTTCACTCATATACATTCATGTCTCCATTATTTCAATCTCACACATATATTCACCGTTTCATTCTCACATACTCATATATTCACTATTTCACTCACACACATTCATTCTGCACTATTTTACTTTCACACATTCATATCTGCATCATTTCACTCTCACACTCTCATATATCAATTATTTCACTCTCACACACTCATATGTCTGATATTTTGCTCTCACACACTCATATATCCATTTTTTTGCTCTCACAGCCTCATATATTGACTGTTTCATGCAATCACACACTCATATACCCATTATTCCATGCTTACACACTCTTACATCCACCATTTCATTCTCACGCCCTCATATATCCACTGTTTCACTCTCAACATTCATATATCACCTGTTTCTCTCTCACACACACATATGTCTATTATTTCATTCTTTTTATACTCATATATCCACTATTTCACTCTCACACAATCAGCTGCTATTTCCCTTTCACACACTCATATATTTCCCTTTCACACACTCATATATTTCCCTTTCACACACTCATATATTTCCTTTTCACACACTCATATATTTACCTTTCACACACTCATATAATTCCCTTTCACACACTCATATATTTCCCTTTCACACACTCATATATTTCCCTTTCACACACTCATATATTTCCCTTTCACACACTCATATATTTCCTTTTCACACACTCATATATTTACCTTTCACACACTCATATAATTCCCTTTCACACAATTATTTCACTCATATAATTCCCTTTCTAGAGCTTTAGCATGGGTATCCGAGCAAACCGCCACACAAGCAGTAATTGTCTCAGACTCAATGAATATGCTTCAGAAAATAGCAACAGGCAGTATGCGCTCTGAATGGATAGAAAGCATTCGGAAATCGCACTTAACTTCCGTAACCTGGATCTACACACCGGGTCATGCGGGCGTAAAGGGAAATGAGCGAGCGGACCAACTGGCAAGCACAGCACTAATGATTGCGGGAAAAAGCATGGACAGAGCAGATATCGTTAACGCTGTACGTACTGGGCTAGTGGATAATATCGAATCCCTGACACTAACACAATTGCGTGACATGGGAGTTAAGCATGGTGAAGCACGTCTTTGTCGTCTGCGAGGCCGAGAAAGGAGACAATATAACCAGCTTCTCATGGGGACAATTAGTAGAAGTACTTTGGAGTGGCTGCTGCTTCGGAGGACTGCGCACGCATGGGTATGCCCAATGTGCAGTGACGTCGATTGTGATAACAAAACACAAAATAACATTTTATAGGAAGTCGGCATTCTGAAACCCAAGTTCAAGGTGTCTCCTTCGTGCCAAAGAACTGCATGGCTGTTGGGTGAACAGTCGTTAACGAAGGCAGTCAGGTCGTTGTAGGGGCGACGCCTGCTGGTGGATGTAATGTCCTAAGTCCCTTTCCCAGCTAATAGTGAGGGTACTGCTGGGGTGACCATTTGTTAACCCCTCACATAATGCTTCAAGTCACAGTGGACACTAGGCATGACCACTTTTTTTTTTTTTTTTTTTTTAAAGCCGTGGCAGTTCTGCCAGGCGGTGGCCGTTGCATTTTTGCTCCATTTGTAGACTGGAAGGATATAGTTTCGTCACCCAGCTTCTGAGTTGAGTGCATGGTGTGACACTGTGAGCTACGAGTGTTTTTTCGTTGGCACAGGAGCGGAGCAACAATGGGGTGACCCGTTTGCTATGAACACACTCTTATATCCACTGTTTCCTACACACTAACACTTCACTTTTAATAATATATTCAGCACTGATAGATTGTTGGTGTTATTTTGTTTTTTTATGAGATCTTTGTAGTGATTATCAGTCTTGGATTACCTTAGGTCTTGTTTCCTTTGCTTATGTTTTTTTAAAAGTTGTAATGGACCCTTTTCAGGCCTGTAAGGCATCGAGCATGTAGTTCAAAGCCCATTGTTTTATAGATCTTGTTCTTCCTACCTAATATTCACCAGCTGTGAACTTTAGTGCAAAGTTTTGGTTGTTCATCCACTTCTGCCTTGATGTGGATTCAAACTGAAGAGCTTCTGACTGGCAAGCTGGCCTCTAGTGCCTGAGCTTTTTCATGGTCTTGTTAGTAATTAATGATTTAAATACGTTTACGGAATATGTTTTCTTGTTGAAACCTTAACTCTATTTATATCAGCATACATGTGTCAATAGAATAGCACAGAGTTTTCTCATCATCAGACTCCCCACATGGGTTCCAATTCTCTATTATGAAAGGATGGGGGGGAGATAGGCTGCCTTTTCCTCTAAAATCCGAGTGTATGTGCCTGAGAGGTGAGGAACCAGTGGTCTGCATATGAATGAGCAAATCTGTAAAAATGGTGTGCATGCAAAGTTCAAGTTCTGGAACACGACTAAAACCCACACCTGGACAAACAACCAGAACTTTTCCACCAGAGTTTACAGCTGGTGAGTGCTAAGAAGAAGAAGAAAACACTATAAGACTCATGGGGAATGGCTGATTAAGTGGTTAGAACCATAAGCTTTCATTTGGAAGACTGGTTCAGATGTTGAGTAAGGTAATGAGATTTTTTCACCTTTGGTAGGAACTAACCTGCACAGTTTGCCACACAGACCTGAATCCACCGGTTTAAGATCCTTCTGTTCTATAGGACACTAAAATGTGGTAGAAACAGCCAGTAAAGTTTTGGGTTTTTTGTTGTTGTTGTAATTTTGTAAATCTCATTTTTTTTAATGACCTGAGTGGTTTGAAAGTTACATAAATAAAGGTAACCTTTTTACATCTTAAGACATTGAGAAGATGATGTAATTACGTGTGGATAGGCCGCAGTATATGAACCCAAAATCATTGATGAAAATATAGGGTACAGTTTATATTAGAAAAATTGTGCCTAGTTTTCACTTGTACAAAATAAAGCAATAACCATTTTTAAATATAGAAAACAGTACTGGTAATTCTTCTTCTTTGCGTTCACCAGCTGTACATTCTGGAGTAAAGTTCTGGTTGTTCGTCCACTTCTGGACTGCAGTCCTGTTCCAGAACCTGAGTGTTGCATGTGCATCAGTTTTACAGATCTGATTCTCTTGAATGCAGACTGCTGGTTCCTTGCCTCTCAGGCAGATGCACTCCGACTTCAAAGGAAGCTCCCCAGTTAGTCGACTCTTACGACATGCTTTTAGGGAGGCAGTGGGTCTATTCTTGTTTTCCCCACAATAGGGCCCCGGAACCCACACAGGGGAGTACTGGTAATTGATGCAGTTGTTGTCCGCTGCCGAATCATGAGGTCATTTTGTGCTATAAAGCGCCTTGCCCAAAACATGTGCTATAAAGCGCCTTGCCCAAAACATTATGTGCTATAAAGCGCCTTGCCCAAAACATTATGTGCTATAAAGTGCCTTGCCCAAAACATTATGTGCTATAAAGCGCCTTGCCCAAAACATGTTGTGCTATAAAGCGCCTTGCCCAAAACATGTTGTGCTATAAAGCGCCTTGCCCAAAACATTATGTGATATAAAGCGCCTTGCCCAAAACATTTTGTTCTATAAAGCGCCTTGCCCAAAACATGTTGTGCTATAAAGTGCCTTGCCCAAAACATGTTGTGCTATAAAGCGCCTTGCCTAAAACATGTTGTGCTATAAAGCGCCTTGCCCAAAACATGTTGTGCTATAAAGCGCCTTGCCGAAAACATTTTGTGCTATAAAGCATCTTGCCCAGCCATAACTGGCTTTCACTTTACTCTGAGGAATTGCCACGATGTCATATAATTGATGGATTTCAAACTGCGACAGTTCTACTGACACAGAAAACCGAGCAACCCTTATTTTTTTTTTGACATATTCCATTAGTTTCTTTTCTTCTTCCTTGTATTTCATTTTCCTGCCACGTGAAGTTTATGACTGGAATTTTTTTTTTCAAGAGTTTCTTTCATTCCAACCCATCTTCATATATTTTGTGCATCCTCATTGAACTTCCTCCCAGCTGCTCAGTTTCCATCTTCTGCATAAAGCACAACTTACAACCTAAATTTACTACTGTAACTTGCTCCTAATGGCCAGTCTTTTACTGTTTACAGGTACTGCTGTTTCGGTTTTGGTCTCTCGCCGATACTCTAAGAAAATGGTCTTTTCCCCTAAAATTATCCTTTAAGAAATGGAGTGCAGCCTACACACATGTAAATACGGTAATGCTAGGGGCGAATATAGGAGATACTTTTCATGCTGGGGTAGAATACGGGAAGTTCTGCAGATGTTTCTTCTTCTTCTTCTTCTCCTCTTCTTTAAATTACCTCAGCAAAGTATTGGGGGAAGATATAAGGATCTTTCTAATATGCTATGTGGAGCACTTATGGGTTACTACCCTTGTATCATGATGTTGATCAGTCGTCTTAACCTAAACCTAATATGCTATGTAGGTGGGTTTTCCTTTCTCTAAGGTTGTTTGCTCTTGATGCGATCAGTTCATCTTTGGAGTAGTCTTCTCTTGGCTCTGTGTTCATTATATTTGGGCTCTCTGTGGTGATACCAGGACATTCTCATGAAATGACCAAAACCATTTAATCTATTGTTGTTTAATGAAATGCATATCTTGTTTCAGTACTGATCTTTTTTCTTCATTTGATCCCCATCGTATTTTCCAGCAGCTCTTTTAAGACATCTCATCTTTGTTATGATTTTATT